TTCATGTTTGGTTTGTTTCATAGTTACGTTCTCGCATGTTCCTGTCCAGTTTCATGTTCTTGGCCATCGTCATATCCCAGGTTTCAGTTTAGTTTCACCCTTGTTTTGCCTCGCCTTGTTTTTCTGTTTTTTCTATCAGCTGCAATAATGTTTTTTGTTTAGACAACAGTTCATTTCTCCCGTCTGCAATTTGGGTCCGTTCCATAAAACACAACGTCATTTCCCGCTGTAACAGTGTTGCTTTCTCGTGATTATTTTTCATGTGTGGTTGAAATAAAATAACTCCTTCTGCTGGTACTTCTGCATGCGTGTCCATTTCACGTGTTGGCAGCAAAAGATGAACTACCACAATATTAGGCAGTTGGTATCAATGTTATGTCTGATCGTAGAAGATGAAGCAGTCAGATATCATCTACTCAGTCCTGAACAACCGAATGCAACAATCCTGACCAAGTCCAGGTAGGTAGTCGGAGAGCAAAGAGGTGGAACAAAACTGAGTCAAGTAAATACGGTCCTTAAGTCTGACATCATTAGCTGGATCCAAACTCCACTTCAGGTCCCAAAGTCAAACGAACACTGCAGCGTCACTGAGAGTTAAAAACTGTCTGAATTCTTTCATCTGTAATAAAATGAACAATGTGGCTGCTCTACCATGTGTAACAATTAATTTTAACATCCAATTATCTGCCAAAATAGAATTTATGAAGTTAGCATTGAGTTAGCTCACTAGTTTCCATCTAAAGATGATATACCATGTTCTGACTGAGGGATTTTTGAGAAATTGAAATGTACAGCTAGCTATCACCTCCGACATAAATAAAGACAGAAAACTAAACAGCAGTGATGTTTGTAGGATTACTGAAGTTGGCCTAGCTGGTATATAATGATGTGCTACTTGTTGGCTAGCTACACAGCTATAGTTAGCATAATATAAACACAGTTAAGCTGGAGGGTGAACTCTGTAACTAAAGTTAACATGAGGGTTCCCAATGGTCAGGGACAAATGCAATCACACGGCAGGATGCTGTAAATGGACAAAACTTTAGTCAGGAGAACAACTGAGATATTCCATCTACAATATGAAGTTAGTCATTAATATTCTGCTGCATGGGCTGGGCTGTAGCTACATTGTAGGGTTTTAAAAACTGAGCTTTAAAATAATTAGTGGTAATAAAAAACAGAAGGACTGACAGTGATCACTGCTCTTTGTTAGGGGATTGTTCAGATTAAATAGAACAAGATTCAAAGCATTAAAACATGTTAAAAACACAACAGCCTTAATGGACCCAGAAGCAGGGTTCATACGTTGTGAGTTCACAACTGTAAACATTTAAATATATGACAATGAAAAGTCTGAACACTGCACTAGTCCTACACGTGTGTTACAAGGACACAAGGGCACAGAAAGGTAACAGTGGTTGCATCCTGTCAAACACAGTGCCTTTTACCATCTTTCTATTTAGACGTGTCAGTGCAACGGCCTCTGTGGTTTCAGCAGGATGTGCTCTTACGCTCACACATACCTCATGACCCAAGGACCACTTGCTGTAAACACCCAACAAAACTGTAGTTTTCAACAGGTCTTGTTTATTTCATGCTGCAACTCATATGAGCTCAGAATACTTCTTTTATCAGGAATGCAAAACCATTATTGTATAACAGTGACTATTCAAACAGCAGTTGAGTACAGAGTAAAATAATCTGACACAGATGCTGAAACTTAGTAAAAATGATATAAATTAAAAATGTAACATTGCATTTATGCAACTTATGAGCAACAGTTTCCTAATCCTGAATGTTAAAGATCAATATCTTGTGTGAATACAAATATTCCTGATTATCTCTTTCTGGACCCAGAAGTTGCCGTTTTCTAGTTTAACAATTACAGCGTGGGGTATACTGGAAATGCAGGTAAACTGGTCCAATAAATAAAATTGATCAAGTTTATATAACATATTTAATGCAGACCAAGCTGTATTTACT